TATCTATCTATCTATCTATCTATCTATCTATCTATCTATCTATCTATCTATCTCTCTAACCAATCGCTCTTTCTGTGTGTGTGTGTGTGTGTGTGTGTGTGTGTGTGTGTGTGTGTGTGTCAAACTGAGGATTTGACTTCTTTTTTCTTTTTTTTCTGAAACAGAACTCGTATTGGTCACTTATTTGGCTTGATTGCCTTCTAGAATGTAGAGGAATCTTGTGGTCTTCACCTCTTTATTGCTGGGATTACAAGTCCACAACACTGAGTCTGGCTTTTTATTAGATTGATTCTAGGTTTCAAACTTGGATCTTTATTGTGTGGGAATCTCCTTACATCTGAGCCATTTCCTCTGCCACCAGCCTGGATATATTTTGAATACATGTTGGATTTGGGGACCCACTTAGAGTGAAAAGTACCAGTGTCATCCTGTACAAGAAGATCATGGTATGTTCCTGGTAAGTTTGCTGCTGTGAATGACTTTTTGGACGTGTTTGTTTGTTTGTTTAGTTTTTATTTTATTTTTGTACTAGAGACTATAGAGTCCTGAGTTTTGGTCACCATATTTGTATGCAAAAACAATTCCATTGCCTCAGTTACCTGTTCCTATGTCCTATGACCTTTCCATTCAGTTTTGTGGAAATGTTTATCTTGTCAATGAATTTTATGTAAAGTACTGTTTTTGTAAGCAAATGTTTCTTTTTCTTATCTTTTTCTTTATTTTTGATAGAAAATTTGCTGAGTTAGCATCTGAGAATCTTTAAGAATTGAACTTCATTTATAGAGGAAAAGAATGCTTGGGTTTTGTGATTCTCCCTTTTCCAGGAGAGCCTTCAGTGGCTCTAGGTTTTGCTTTATATTTCAGAAACATGTGATTGGAAATGTAGGACTTGAGCTTTCCCTAGTGTTCTGTAGCTCAGGATTTCAATAAAATTTAAGCATGGGCAGTAGAAGACAGCTACAGCACTTACTACAGAAAATAAAAAAGTTAACCAAAGTATTTTATTGATACATTCTTGGACAATACCACAGAACTGGAAGAGAATGGAAAGGGAATTTTTCTTCAGCAAGAGATTTTTTTTCCACTAAATTGACACATAAGCAGCAAGATTAACGAAAGTACTTATTACAAACAGTAAAAAACATACATGCTTCTTTTTAAAGTCCTTATCACATTGGTCAGTCATAGGGGGCATGAACAAAACCTCAAGACATGAAAAATCCATATTCTTTCCTTCAAATAGCTTAATAATCATTAAAATTATTGCAAAATATTCATATACCCTAAGTAAAATAATAAAAGGGAACACAAATACAAATATTAAACATAAATTATTAACATGTACTGTAAAATACATTACTGGCATGCATTCCAAAGATCAAGACCTCTATTCCACTTAGCCAATGCTTTTCTTTCACATCACATCACCTACCATGTACCAAAGATAGGTGGGGTATATCTTCTCAGCACAGTTTTTGGTCTTTAAACATCTTTTGTGTGTGCATGTGTGTTTAAAAAAAAAAAACATGATTTTCCGTGGTACTATAATCATAACCACACAGACATTTACAGATGTGCATGGGGGTTTGTGTTCTCATATGTCTGCCGAGATTTTTTTTCAATTAGTTGTTTTGTTTTTTTTTCCCAAAGATTCCACCATCTGAGAGGAAAAGTTTCTATGAAAACAGGGCATTCAAAAACAAATAGTGAACCGAGGTACAACATTGAGTGGCAAAGTGCAAATGTCCTCACAAACTGTACAGAAAATTTCAAAACCTTGCATCCTGGAAGTACATACGTAGAAAGACAAGTCAGCCCCCAAAATCAGTCCGGAGGCTCTCAGCGGTTCATCCAAAAGAGCCAGGTGAGACTTGAGTCTCAACTCTCCCTTTGCTTAGGGAGTCCAGAATTGCAGCCAAGATGGCAGTGCTGATGCCAATGACTTGTTAAGCCAAGATAAAGTAATGGTGTCTCAGAAAGCAGCTGTTTAGGTAGGATGTGTGGATCCTCTAACGTTGGTCTCCCAGTTGGAGAAGCTCCTCCAGAGATAGGAAGCGGGCAGGACCAAAAGAGTCCTATGCCAGATTGGGTGACAAAATAACTGAGGGTCTTCCTCCTCCATGGTTCCATGGGATGGAACAGGTTAGATAACCAGGTTATTATAACTGACATACTTCTTTTTTGCAGCAGGGCCTGGAGAGAAAGAGAGGGAAAAGTCAATTGTGGCCATGAACCTACCTTCAAAGGTAGAGCTTGGATGACTTTCAGTACCAAGTCAAGATAGAAAGGGACACCTCTGGGGAATACACACAAACTTTGGCATATTGCATTTATCTGTAAGCTTTTTCCCTGATTAAGATTGACCTGCCAGTGATACAGACTCACCTGGATTCATTTCTTTGACATGCCTTCAGTCTCATTCTTATTTGGTCTGTGAGGTCACCAGATTTATCATTGGTTACCAAGCTTTCTTATTAGCCAACCCTAAACTTCAAGAGTGATCTGGTGCTGCAGAGATTTTCACGATGTGGTCATCTTCTGAAATCTTTTTTATAAAGAATCCTTACTAGTGGGTGGGGATGTCCTAGGTCACTGGGATTCACTTCAGTTGGCTAACAGAGTACATGCACCAGCTAGCATTCAAACTATCAAGTCATTTATCTCTTTTTTACAGTCTCGACAGTAATGTGTAAATCATAATCTTCATGATAATTTCCATTTAGGTTAAAAGCACACCTGGAAACTTTTAAATGTCTGAGCAGACACCATCTACATTAGTTTTCCTCAGATGTTGAACAACTTACTTTTCATTCAGAGACCTTTACTAATAAATACAGTAAACACACATACACACACACACACACACACACACACATTGGTTCTCCCAAGGCAGGCACAGGACGACACACTGAGCCAAAAGGCAATTCTTTTTCTTTGCTTATGATGGAAACTCCAAGCTATTATAAAGTACCAAGGTTCTGGCTTTTAGTTCTATATAACACCATGTCTGTGAAGAGTTGGGTTCCTGGCACATTCTGTCATAATCAAGTTGCATCAATTTCTGTTAGGCATAGACTCTTTGTCATGTATAATTGTCAGTGGTTTATTTCTTTTTTCTTCTTAGATTCTTGATAGAGCTGTTCATGGATCACAGCAAAGTAGCAAGAATCCTTTCAGAACTCTTAAGCAGGGACTCATGTGAATTTAGAGGCCTCAGCAGCTGCATTAGTGTACTAAGAGCTTGTAAGTGACTTTGGGATAGTCTGTCTGCTGTATTCTAAGCACATACACAAACATCCCTTTTCAAGATACTCCTCAAAGCCTCAAAAGTTGAATATCATTTTATGGAGAAATTCAGACATACCCACTGAGCATTTCTGATTGGGGGACTCATTTCTCTGTTACAGCATAGTTTATTCAATAGATAAAATTAAAAAAAATAGAATTATATGAAAGCGAGAGTCTCCTGGAAACTCTAATTATGATGCATTGCCATTTAATGAGCACATAAACTTAGTCTCAGAGGATGCCAAGTCCCCCAAGAACAATCTTGTGGCCCTTATAGTGCCTATTGCATTCAGCAACTCTCTTGTTTGGGGCATAAGGAAGAAAAGTAACTTTCTTTACAATTTTCTTTTTTTCTGAGGCTGGGTCTCTTGTATTTCAGGCTGCCCCTAAATGCTGTGTGGCTAAGCATGACCCAAATACATATCAAATACATACCACCACATCTTTTACTGCAAGGCTGAGAATCGGACCCAGAACATGGAGCATGCTAAGAAAGCACTCTAATGCTTAGATACATCCCGAGCCCTCAACAAGGGAAACTTTCTAAAGATGCTTTCAGACTCCAGACCTTATTTACAGTGTCATGGCTAGTCAACCTCAGCTGACACAGACGAGTCATTGTAAGAGTGTGCCTTGTCAAATGCCAAGGAGCTAATTATCCTCCAGACCAAAGGGAAAAGAAACAAACAAAACCCCCAGAAGCCTGAGCTGACCTAAATATCTGAGACACCTCTATTGTGTGATTAATTAAGACTGGATTCTGTGTAAGCAGACTGTCTAGTGGAAAAAGAATAATTAAATTTTCTCAAATAGGTTACTATGTAATACCAGTCAGCAAAGAATTATTACTGAAAGAATGAATAGCTTAGGAAAAATACTCTTCCTGTGCTGTAGTGGACACTGGCTTGGATTAAGTTAAAATAAAAATCTAGCTATGATTTTTAAAAATCAAATATTTAGGGCCATGAGATAATTCATCCAGTAAAGATGCTGGTTAGTAAGCCTCCCCACAATCTGAGTGCAACCCACATGTTTGAAGGAGAAAACTTACTAGGGCAAGTTGTCCTTGACCTGCACGCATGTGCCTTAGGCCCACACATAAATGCACACACAAATGAATAAATATAAACATGTAACGAGGCATTGTGTTACATTCAAGCCCTCAGCTTAGAGTAGCTGAGGACAGAAGAATCGGAAGTTCAAGTTCATTCTCAGTTTCACAGCAAATTTTAGGCCAGCCTAAGCTAGACGAGACCCCGAGTTAACAACAGCAAAACAACAACAACTAAACAATGGAACAAACAAAAATTAGGAAATTATGTTTTGCAGAACATGGAAGCTTCCTGGGGATTATCTTGTTTTCAGAAAACTAGAGACCTAATTTGTATTTCCCAATATAGATGAGAAGGATGTGACCTCAGAGTGACCAACATTCTATAACTATGCCATGTGACATTTGAATCTCTCTTTTCTTCTTTAGGCTATGGTGAAAAGACTCTCTCTCTGGGACTCATAGGCTTAGGTTCTGATTTTGCTCCTTCACTTACATTAGATGATATGAGCTGAACTTTGTGGAGGTTTGTAAAATGAGGACAGTAATTCCGACCCTGTAGGCTGTTGATAGCATGGATGTCAGAACTATCCCAGTCTCTCACTGGGGAATAAAACATACAAATGTATTTTTAGGATACAAACTTCTCTACAAAGGATAAGCCTCAATATATGCTTTCTTTGCGGAATTGCTTTGGAGAGTTGCAGCAAGATTATAATGAAGTTTATGCAGCCTTTAGAATGGCAATTTCTGTCCTTTATCACAGCAAAGTCCAGTGTATTACAGTGTTTATTTTTAAAGCTTCCTGGCCTTATGAGTAAATAAAAGAAGAGCCTTCAGGGCTGACAATTCTATTTGTTTGAATAGCAATGTAGTTTATGGTCCAGGAAAGAGAAATGCCTAGCTCAAAATAGTTTGTCCAGAAAAATCGTTGCTAAAGAGATACACTTTTTTATTTTGAAAAGGCTAGGAATTGTTTCCCTTAGAAGACAGAGTTTGTTTGTTTGTTTGTTTGTTTGTTTGTTTAAGAACAGGAATAGAATGAAAATTTAAAAGTTATTTACATGTTGAATGTGTATGAGTGTTTTGACTGCGTGGATGTATGCATATCACATGAGGTCCTGGTACCTAAAGAAGTCAGAAGAGGGTGTTAGGTCCCCGGAACTGGAGTTATGGATGATTGTGAGACATGAGGTAGGTACTGGGAGCAGAACCTGGGTCCTGTAGAGTGTCTGCTTTTAATCACAGAACAATCTGTCTGGCTCTAGAAAGAACAGGCGTGGAGCACATTGTTCCTATTTAAAAGGTTAGGGCTACCTCTAGCATTTGTTCTCAAAGCCAGATATTTCAAAGAGCTGACGTTTCACTGAGAAAGTATTAAGGATGCTGATTTCTGAGACACATTATTAATATACGTTTTCTTTTTAAGAAAGATTAGACATCCAACTCACTCTTATTTTGTCAAAACTTACTCTCAATTTGGCATTAACTTTAGTGGGCTAATTTTAATATCAAATTAATTTTGATTTTAGTATAATTTTCTTTGCTTTTTTTTTTAAAATTTTTAGTTTTATTTATGCCTTTTGGATCCTGATTTAGTCCCCTCCATTTTCTCACTCCTGGGTTCATCCTTCCTCTCTGTTTGCCCTGGCCCCCTTCTGCCATTCTTCAGAGAAGCTTCCCCTCCCCCCAGAATATCAAATTGCATCAGGAATGAGTGCATCCTCTTTCCCTGTGGCCTGGTGACAAAGGGAAAGTGATCAAAAAGTAGGCAATAGAGTCCATGTCAGAGTCAGCATCCATTCCTCTTACTAGGGGACCCATATGAGGATCCAGCTGCCCATCTGGATTTGTTTTTCAGTTGCACTAATTTATGGGAGGAGGAAAAGCTTGAGCCATGGCATACTTGTAGAGACCATAGGACAGCTAGGGGTAGTTGGTTCTCTCATTGTACCACACAGGACCCAGCGATAGGACTCAGATAATCATGCTTGCCAACAAGCACCTCTACCCCTGAGCTGTGTCACTGCCCACTCTCCATTTTTTCTTCTCACAAAACTTTGATTTATTGTAAGCTAGATTAAAGAAACTATAAATAATGTAAAAAGGCAAAATACAGAGAAGAAAAAGAATGTTATAAAAAAACATATTGAGAAAACTGAATAAGTGAAAACAAAGCAAGACATCCTTTTAGCCTGTTTTTAAGTTTCCTAATTTTTTTTTTAGGAGAGTCTTTGATGTTTTCACATGATGATATATTTTTTTAACTTTTATTAATTACACTTTATTCATTTTATATCCCCCCATAAGCCCCTCCCTCCTCCCCTCCCAGTCCCACCCTCCCCACCTTCTTGCATGCATGCCCCTCCCCAAGTCCACTGATAGGGGAAGTCCTCCTCTCCTTCTTTCTGATTTTAGTCTATCAGTTCTCATCAGAAGTGGCTGCATTGTCAGGGTTCTAGGTTATCTCCACGGATAGCCCTTGGTTGGAGTATGAGTCTCTGGGAAGTTCCCTGTGTTCAAATTTTCTTGTTCTGTTGCTCTCCTTGTGGAGTTCCTGTCCTCTCCAGATCTTACTATTTCCCACTTCTTACATAAAATTCCATTCACTCTGCCCGTCAGTTGGCCATCAGGCTCAGCATCTGCTTTGACAGTCTGCACGGCAGAGGCTTTCAGAGGCCCTCTGTGGCAGGTTCCGTGGTTGTTTCCTGTTTTCTTCTTCTGGCTTTCACACACTGTATATACTCACTCATATAAACATACAACATAGAATAAACCCACTAAAATCTGTACATCTAAACAAACTAAGCAAAAGAGAGGACCCTAACTAAAAACGCTCAATCCCCATCCTGAA